CAACTATTGAAGCCATAAGGGGTGACAGGTGTATAACTTAAAGCAGAACTTCACTCTCTCAATCACCATTGTCTATTTTTAATCCTTATGCTGCTAGCATTAGTAAATGATAGGAAAACATATCATGTGTACTTGTTATAAATTGTTTAACATTTCTTCAGTTACTTCCTGGTTTCCATGCCTAGGCAAATGATGTATTACATCCCAGGAGTCTTCAGGAGGGGAAGATGGGAGGAGGAGTTTTGTCAGCTAAGCACATCCTCCTGCCTGCATGCCTGAGCTAAGGGCAGATGGATTCCAGGAAACAAATGCTGTATGAATCTTACTCAAGATGGCCATGGCCAGAAATGCTAGGGGGTGTTTTCCATAGTGATTTTTCTATGAAGACATGGATGGGTGGGGGAGTTTGCTGTGGATATTAAAAATTAATCAAATAGTGTTTTGGTTTGTGGTTCTCAGATGCAGTGTAGTTCTGCTTTACATAAGTTATCTATTTGTATCCAGACAAGCACACTTGCTGCAAATGGTCATGGTGGCAGCTTGGGGGAAGTAGTAGTGATCAGATTTGTGTTCTAACCTTGTTGAATGTCTTTTCCCCAAGATCGTTTTAGCAGAATTGTCTTCAGCTTCCCTTATTTTTCATGAGTGTCCAATTTGGATAGTAGTTATTTTGTATTTTTTCTGTGCCTTTTTCATGTCAGAAGGCGGGTTTCTGTCTTAGTTAATTTTGCATGTGAAATTATACCTTTCAATCTGTATATTTCCTTTCTCATAATATTTTATCACTTACTGAAAACTTCAGTTACCCATTGCATGATGCGAATATAATTCTCCTTTGGGCAGGTGTTCGAATGCTGGATGGTGAAGTGACTGATGCTGTCGAAGCGAGATCACTGGGTCTCAATCCTAACCACATCAATATCTACAGTGCCAGCTGGGGACCAGAGGATGATGGCAAGACCGTGGATGGTCCAGCCCATCTAGCAGAAGAGGCTTTCGGCAGAGGGGTCACTCAGGTAGACTATACCTTTTTTTTTTTTACTTTGTCATTTTTGTAAGCTTTGAGGACCCTTCTAAGGTTTTCCCATTTTTTTCCCCCAATTGTTTAACATCACATTCTAAAACAAGTGAGCAGATCCCTGTGAACTTCTCCCTTGCAATGCTGTGTGAATAGATCTTGCAGGTGCTTCATTTTCCAGGCATTGTTCCTGTAGCTGGAGCCATCCAGCACCACTGTGCCAGGATGTAATCTTCCTCTATCATAGCTTGTCAATAAAACATTTTAATTACTCTTTTCACATCATAAAACGGCAATTACTTTTCCGCTCTGAAAATATCAGGCCAAACAGGGAATATATTGTTCTTCTATAGTTACAGATTTATTTTTACCTGTATTATTTGACAGGTGTTCACTTCCAAGGCATTTTAAGCTTTAGACCTCTCACTGAACCTTTCAGAAACCATTCGACTCAACATTTAATTGGCTTAATGAAATCCATATCCTTATTTATATCCCCACATTTCTGGACGAGCAAGGCATCAATATATTTCCAGCAGGTGGGGCAACATGTGAAATCTGGTGTCTGCGTACGGATTATTGGCTTAGTTTAGGACCAACTTCACACAAAACTGATTATTACAGTTCTGCATGGTTGCTGGCAGGTATTGTATCACAAGTTTGCTTAACCACAGAGGATTTACCCTCCTTCCTGACCAGGCCACTTTTTGCGTTACTTTAACTGACAATTGCACGTTCATATAACGCTACACCCAAATTAAATTTACGTACCTTTTTTTCCACGAATTGAGCTTTCTTTTGGTTGTATTATATCGTTTGTGCGTTTTTAATTTTTTTGCGCTATCAACAAAAAAGACCGACAATTTTGAGAAACTGTTTTTGAATCTTTTTGCTATTAAACATGTCCAGTAAAAAAAAAAAAATATTATCTTACATGTCTTTGCTAAAAATAAAATCACAATACGTGTAAATTAATTGGTTTACATGAAATGTATAACATTTACAAATGGTGGAATATATACTGGTATTTGTTTCTTACATTTTTACTAGTAATGGAGGCAATCGGCAAATTATAGTGGGACTGCGGCAGGCATTCTGACACTGGGGGGAACTGACTTGGTGTCACTGACATCCTTAGTGACACTAATACAGTGATCAGTGCTAAATAAAAGCACTGGCACTGGGCAGGAAGGGGTTAACATGAGGGGCGATCAAAGGGTTAACTGTGTTCTGTTTTACTGTGGGCTGTCTGTGTGCTTCACTGTAAGCACACTGCTTTAGATGGCTGTGCTGTGCACAGCCATCCAAAGCAGTGTGCATGAGCTGACAGGGAGGAGAACTGTTTTGTTTACAAACAGTTCTCCTCCCCATCGGAGATGCTCATGAATCACCAGGCGCCAGCGAGTAATCACTGGCTGGGACCCGGTGATAGCCACAGCCTCGAATGGCAGCGCAGGTAGGGCATGCGCGCCTCGCGTGTGCCCCCTACCCAGAAATGCAAGATCATGTATATAGATGTATTTTTGCACACCCTGCTGCCCTGTAGCAGTATATCGGGAAGCGGTTAAAGGGCAAAAACACTTTGGAGGAAAAAACATTGCAAAACAAAATATAGCATATACAATTGTTACACAAGCCATATTCTAATTGAATGTTATAAAAATTACATTTCCTTTTCAATATGCAGTCACTGTAATTTTTTTGTAAAATTCAATGCAATACGGCATTCTGAAGTCATTCTGTACCCAGTTGGTGTACAGAAATTTCCAAGAAATGTTATTTCCTGCTTGTGTAATCGACTCACTGTTTTTCCCCAAAAGTTTGTACTAAGATGCAAGTCAAATGTTAGGCACCCCCACTGCATAAGGAGTTTCAAGTTTGGTAAGATACTCCCCAAGGGTTAATTACTTCTAAGGGAATGCAGGCAATGCAGCTTTTCTCATTGGAACACTGAAAGTGTACCAGGCGATTATAATGAACCAGGCTGTTCATTCAGAACCAGTGTCCAAAGGACATGGGGAAATAAAAAGCAAACTTCAGAGCAAAAGAAGCTGGAAATCTGCTATGCAATTTGTTGAAATTCCTGCAATGTACATTGATCACCCAGAGGGGATTTTTTTTTTCTATCAACAAAAGTGTAGCTACTCTTTAACTGGTAAGGCGTCAACATTAATCAGAATTCCCAATTCCATTTTTCCATTTGGCTACTACAAAGCTTGTGTCCTGATTTCCCTGGTGGATTCCCATATCGTAGGATGCACAAATAAGTGTAGTATTGGGCACTGGCACCTGCACCTTAAATAAGAGGAACCAGAAACTGTTAAAGGAACATATTATAGTTTCAGAGCTGCAAAAAACAGACTGATAATAGTTCAGTTTGTTATCCTGACCTTTAAGAAGAAAAAATGGTTGTCATCTTGAAAGGTTGGCAGTGAAAAGAATGGATGGGATATGAAAACGAGTGTGGGCATGCGGAATGAAAAAGTCAAGGAAAAAAACAAAGATACCTTCATTGTTTTGGATAGAAGATCTGGCCCTCTTGCTGTATTAGGTTTTGTGTAGGTGGACTTTGATTTTCCTGCAGATTCTCCTCTGGCGCAGTGTGGATGACCATTTTTAGGCTGTTTGACCTGTTTCATTTTGGGTTTCTTTGGAAGCATCAGGTCCTTCTGAGGTTGATTGCAAAAGGCAGTGTTTGTCAATAATGCCCATCTGCACAAGCCCTTACACAGCTGTCTGACGGTAAACTCATAAGTAGTGATGGGCCGAGCACCCCTCTGTTCGGTTCGCAGTCGAATGTTCAAAACGAACTTCAAACAGAGGGGACAATTCACCAAGCGGTATCTCACCGCATCTGAGTATGTGATAAGATACTGCACAGCTACTGAAAATATTCTTTAATGTTTCAGCTGTTAGTGGGGTTCCCCACTGGCAGCTGAATGTAAAAAGAATTGCCAGGATTGCCTGGCAATTAAATTTTTTTTTTTAACCCCCCCCCCCGATCCATACTAAGCCCTTTGGGACTGGTATGGATTTTGAGGGGAACTTGTACGCCACAATATCAAAAAAATTGCATGGGCTTCCCCCCCAATCCCAAAATCTGTACCAGACCTTTATCCGAGCATGCAGCCCAAGCAGGTCAGGAAGGGGGGGGGGGGTAGAAACGAGCGAGCAACAACCCCCTCCTTCCTGAACCATACCAGGCCACATGACCTCAACATGGTGGAGTGCTTTGGGGCAGAGGGGGCTCCCCCCTTCACCCCAAAGCACCTTGTCCCCATGTTGATGTAGACAAGAACCTCTTCCCCACAACCGTGGCCGGTGGTAGTGGGGGGTCTGCGGGCAGGGGGCTTATTGGAATCTGGAAGCTCCCTTTAACAAGGGGGCTCCCAGATCTCACCCCCCTCTATGTGAATGAGTATGGGGTACATGGTACTGCTACTCATTCGCAAAAAAAATGTGTAAAAAATGACAGTAGACAGTCTGTGACAAGTCCTTTATTGAAAATAAAAATAAAAAAAGTCCCCTGAAGTGGATCCAATGTCAATCACGATGCCTGCCGCCACCACTGACCCAGACAAAAAAAAAAAAAAAAAAAAAAAACCCGCTCCACTCTCAACACTGGCTCCCGCTGTCTGCGCTAGGATGACAGTTTTTAAATACTGTGATGATGTCACAAGGGGGCGAGGTCACCCCTGCATCCTTGTGATGTCATCATGTGCTGTGATTGACCTAAAGCATTGCACCTGACTTATGGTCAGGTGCATTGGTCTTGGCCAATCACAATGCACTGTCAGGGCGCAGTGCATTGTGGAGCGTCGCGGGCGAACAGCCTGCCACATGCCCTTACCGTTCGTCTGTTTGACTCAAACATCATGCCCTACACTGCTCTTAAGTATATTGCTCATGTTCTCGTTCTGTGTTATTTTTTGCTTGAACAGGGTCGTTATGGTCTTGGCTCTCTATATATGTTTGGGCCTCTGGGAATGGCGGGAGAGAACGTGACAGCTGCAACTGTGATGGATACACCAACAGCATCTACACACTGTCCATCAGTAGCACCACCCAGTTTGGCAATGTACCATGGTACAGTGAGGCCTGTTCCTCCACATTGGCTACCACCTACAGCAGCGGGAATCAGAATGAAAGACAGATTGTAAGTATTGTCTCTCTATACTCTATTCTCTAACTGCTAACCTCATAAGAAGGATCTCTTCTTTCCCTAATATTGCCACTTTAGAGAATGTCATGGAATTTGTGATATTAGATGCAAGCTATTATTTTTTTATTTTTTTTTTATATAGCGTAAGGAACATTTTGCATCCCCCTTTTATCTTATTTTACCTGATCTCCTGGCCTGTTAGATATTTGGTGTGTAGCATTCACCTCCTACAGGTCTCGCTGTTTAGGTCCCAAGGTTTTCTTCCCAGTAGGTATACTGGCAGCCAGGCACACCATCAGTCACTCTTTGGCTCAATGATTAGTTTAGGGGTATTTTTTTTTATGTGCAGAAATTGAACTTGGATGGGTGCAGGGTAACTGTGGGATACTCCAGCAACGCCAGTTAGTAACTTGAGGACACTTCCCTTCCTTCTGAAAATCTGAGTACAGTCCTTGTAGCTGCAAATATTGGGCTGAGCTACACTAGGACACTATAAACAATCTCCTGTTTAAAGTGGAGTTCTGAGCCCCAACCTCCCCGCCAAAAAAAAATTAAAATTTGAATTTTAATATTAAAACACTTACCTGTCCAGGGATCCAGTGGTGTCCTCACCTCGAGCTGATCAGCTGTCGGGTGCTGGCGCCACCATCTTGACTAAGGGGAACCGGCAAGGAAGCCTTGCGGCTTCTTATTGCACATGTACAAAGCTGAACTTTTGGTTCAGTAAGCTGTGGCAAACTGGGCTGGAAGTGGGACATGTCAAAACCACGTACCCACTCCCTCTTTCCACCCAAAAGGTGCCAAATGTGGCATTGGGGGGGGGGGGGCAGATAAGGTCCCCTTTTGGGTGGAACTCCACTTTAAGTAATGCTGACTCTAATGTAAAAAAAAGAGAGATAACAGCAGCAGAACAGTCACTGGGATCTCTCACACCAGTCTGTATTCACTAATGTCCTTGGATAATTGGATGCCTCCTTCCAATGTCCTCCATACACTTCTCATGTGAAGACTTCAGCCCAGATTCCCAAAGGAAGTCTGCCAGTTAGCTTCAGCAAAATAGGGCTCTCAACTAGCAAAGCTGGGACGCCAATGAGCAGTAAAAAGCGCAACTGGACTGCCCAGAAGGACAGAAGCCGTTCAGACTGCGATCTCCTCCTCCTGAGCAAGAACCCCTCTGTTCCAGGCCCCAAATTATTAATACTCCCAGCTACAATCTGGGCTGCCTCCCCCAGGGATTGGTTTGGCTTGCATAAATATTGAGCTGCTGATTTGACTCTCCCAGCTAACTACTTTCCAGAACCCTATAGAAAACAGGGGAAAGCAGTCAATCCAGCAAGCAGTGAGACGACGCAGAACAGCGCAACGTAATCAAAAGCATCTCAACTGATTACATTGGAGCTAAGAACTAAATTTACTTCACCTAGCTCCTATCTAGGGGGGTGCTACAGGTACATACATTTAAAGAAGAATTCCAGGTATGGATATCTTTACATATTTACATTGGTCCAGCTTGACCAATGTAATTATGCTTATACCATATCTGTGGGATCGCTCTAGAAGCTTGCAATCACTGTAACAGGCACCGCTACTCCAGTGATCCCCACTAGAAGATTCCGGGTTCTGTACAGAGTGGCTGTCCTGTTGCATTGTGAACACAGGAATTCGGCTGCTTGGCCTGGGCACCATTCAGAAAATGCTTTGCATTTGTTTCAGTGAATGCAAAGCTATCTGTGGTCACAGTGCTGCTGGACAACTGTTTAGCACGGGACCTGGAAGCTCGTAGAGATCACTGAAATGGCGATCTCTACTACAGTGACTTTCAGCTTCTAGAGGAATCCAGTGGGTATGGGATATGCATAGTAACATTGGTCCAAGTTAGACCCATGTAAGTACTGTATGTAAAAATATCCATACCTGGAATTCTTAAGGCGGAGTTCCACTCACGCTGTAAAAAAATAAGTCAGCAGCTACAAAAACTGTTAAAAACCAGTCACCTGCATTGTCCCCATATTTTTTGTGTTGTCCCCGCCGCGCAGCCTGTTTCACCGGCCGTCCTGTATTCCAGGAGGCTTGCATCTTCAGTGTGGGTACCCGGCTTCACAGCCGGGTGCCCACTGAGCATGCGTGAGTAGTGCTGCGCTTCCTGAATGGCCCCATCGTCTTCTGGGTCCTGTCACGTGTCCCACAAGACTTCAGGGAGGGTAGGAGGACAACTTCTGTTTCCGATCGCAGCGGAAGTGGGTAACTGTCAAATACCCCCCCTCCCCGCTCCCCAAAGGTGCCAATCCTTAATGGGGAGCGGGGGGGGGACCAATCTTTAAAGTGGAACTTCCCCTTTTGGAACTCCACTTTAAGATATGGCTAGATATAAAATTAATAAACTACAAAGTCTTTTTGTAATCTTCCATGGCAAACTAAAGCAGCACTTAGAATGCGGCCACCTGGGCTGTGATTATGAAGCATTGACTATATTTCATAATCTGTAGCTCTAGATTGTCACACATTTGTTTATAATTCAGCTTTCTTTTATTACTAGCAACATCTGTTGACCACAAACTAATATGATGCAAAGATTTTGTTTCTATGGGCAATTAGTTGCATGCAAAGCAATATTTGTTCATTATGTTTTAGTTGGAAGGAGGGGTACGTTTTTGTTACTAATCCTATTGTAGCACATGTGATCCTGATGTAACCCCTTTGATACATTAGGCTCTTTGTTTAGTAACTTAGTGAATCCACGAAGAAATATCTGCTTTCAGATGGTTAAATGCACTAAAGCTTGGTTGCTGTAGTATACTTCTATATCAAACAAAATATGACTGTGCTTAACAAGGCTTAACCTGCCATGTGTCTCCACAATTCCTTTCCCTTTAAACTCTCCCCTACCTCATTTGTCACGTTAGTTTTGAATCAGCAGCATTAGACTGGACTGCTTCCATCTTCTATCTGCCAGTTGGACGCCCCTGTTCCAAGCGTGTTCTTTTCTGTTTGCCTTGCGGTTCACAATGCATTCATAATGTTTCAACATACAGCCTGAACAAAGTGTATTTGTTTGCTATGGCCTAGATCCAGTCGTTTTTGGATAAAGAAATAGATGGCCAGTGTAGCCTGTTAATGTGTTTTTTGTTTTGTTTTTTTTTTTTTTCTTTTATCATTTGCTCTAACTTGATAACAGATTTCCAGAGCAGTAAGTGAAATTAGTACTGATGTGGATGATGATGAGTTTTCATGAATCTTTTTTAATAATAAATTTTAAAATGGCAAGAAAACGCATAGATTTTTGGTTAATAGACTTTTTATAGTGGTTACATATACCCAGTGAAGTGACTAGTCTCAGGTGATCCACATAGAAGCAATTCCTCCTACGTAAGTTGTACTAGTTTATCTGCAGTACTTTCTTCTCTAAAGCTGTTCAAATTTTACACATTAAAGGCTATTTCTGAGCTTGAGAAGACAGGATGTGGAATCTGTCACACACTGCACAAGGAGCAGGAAACTGGGTGTAATCTGAGACTTGAGTGGAGGGAAAGGACCCCCCCACACACACACACACACAGTCTCCTAGGGAAACATACATGGCTGAGGCTTTTAGTTGTCTGCTGGGGATGGGGGGGCAGGTCTTTTTCCTGAGATTCTGTGGTGTCCGCATAGACTGTTAGAAGTGACTCTAGCAGAGGAATGACAGGACAGACAGAAATCACACTCAGTACTTATGTTGAGGTAAGTACACACTATAGAAGGATGTGCTTTGTTCCTTTTAATTTTAGAAGTTTACAAACCCTTAATGAAGGGGTCTCCAAACTTTATAAGCAAAGGGCCAGTTCACCATCCTTCAGACTTTAGAGGGGCCAGACTGTGGTCAGTGGGAGTTGAAAATGCCTGGCATAAGTTAGAATAGACAATGCGTCAGGCTTGGTGGTCATTTAGCGTAAAAACATTAATTGTGCCCTATTGTTGCTGTAAGTGGAGGGAATTATGCCCAATTGTTGGTGTCAGTGGGAAGAATGGTGCCTCATCGTTTGGTGTCAGTGGAAGAAATTATGTCCATTTGTTAGTGTCATTGAAAATTATGGTGCCTCATTGTTGATGTCAGTAGGAGGAATAGTGGATTATATCAGTGGGAGCAATAGTGACCAATGGCCAGATCAAAGCAAGCAGAGGGCCACATTTGGCCCACGAGCTGCAGTTTGGAGACCACTGCCTTAATGCAACAGAGTATCAAAGTGTAATCAATGGTTTTGCAGCAAAGGAAAATTATTGAACCGCCATAATACAAAACCTTCTGGTTTTCCAACAGCATATATGCTAGCATGATCAAAACTGGTTAGAAATTCAAATCACAAAGGTTTTTTTTTATTTCTGTTGGGTGCTTATGCAATTGCACTTTATCAATCCATTAAACCTCATGGAATCAATATGTTCTCATGCACCATATGGTGCCTTCATCAATTGATTTGGCTATCTGATCATTTGCAAATGATTGAAGAAAAGTTCCGCCATTCAAATTTCTGTCAATAGCACAATATTGAAATTGAGCATAAATTAATCAATTGCGTCTGAGCAGGTGCAGCCAGTACAAGGTTTTTGGTATAAACATTAGATTACAGTTTATTTGTATCCCATTATGTGTTGCTCAGCCTTTGAGCAGTTAATTCATGATCTCGCTGCACGTTAAAGACAACCTGCCACTACCTGTGCAATTTAAAAGAGCATTTTGAATAAAAATACTGCTCATGCAGGTGATAAAATGTGATGCTAACAAAGCCAGTACTTCTGATCTACAGTCATACAAAGCAAGTACAAGCTATTGAAATTGTTTTACTTTTTCAACATATTTGAATCTTGATTAAAATAGTACCCACAGCTAGGAGTTGCATACAGTACTTGACACATAAAACTGGTATGGCGTATTAATTTTCATGATCTAAATCAGTGGTCTCCAAACTGTGGCCCAGGGGCCAGATGAGGCCCTTTGCTTGCCTCTATCCGGCCCT